TTCTCGTCTGTAGCAGTGTTCTCGTCTGTAGCAGAGTGTTCTCGTCTGTAGCAGAGTGTTCTCGTCTGTAGCAGAGTGTTCTCGTCTGTAGCAGAGTGTTCTCGTCTGTAGCAGAGCGTTCTCGTCTGTAGCAGAGCGTTCTCGTCTGTAGCAGAGCGTTCTCGTCTGTAGCAGAGTGTTCTCGTCTGTAGCAGAGTGTTCTCGTCTGTAGCAGAGTGTTCTCGTCTGTAGCAGAGTGTTCTCGTCTGTAGCAGTGTGTTCTCGTCTGTATAAGAGTGTTCTCGTCTGTATAAGAGTGTTCTCGTCTGTAGCAGAGTGTTCTCGTCTGTAGCAGAGTGTTCTCGTCTGTAGCAGAGTGTTCTCGTCTGTAGCAGAGTGTTCTCGTCTGTAGCAGAGTGTTCTCGTCTGTAGCAGAGTGTTCTCGTCTGTAGCAGAGTGTTCTCGTCTGTAGCAGAGTGTTCTCGTCTGTAGCAGAGTGTTCTCGTCTGTAGCAGAGTGTTCTCGTCTGTAGCAGAGTGTTCTCGTCTGTAGCAGAGTGTTCTCGTCTGTAGCAGAGTGTTCTCGTCTGTATAAGAGTGTTCTCGTCTGTAGCAGAGTGTTCTCGTCTGTAGCAGAGTGTCTGTAGCAGAGTGTTCTCGTCTGTAGCAGAGTGTTCTCGTCTGTAGCAGAGTGTTCTCGTCTGTAGCAGAGTGTTCTCGTCTGTAGCAGAGTGTTCTCGTCTGTAGCAGAGTGTTCTCGTCTGTAGCAGAGTGTTCTCGTCTGTAGCAGAGTGTTCTCGTCTGTAGCAGAGTGTTCTCGTCTGTAGCAGAGTGTTCTCGTCTGTAGCAGAGTGTTCTCGTCTGTAGCAGAGTGTTCTCGTCTCTCGTCTGTAGCAGAGCGTTCTCGTCTGTAGCAGAGCGTTCTCGTCTGTAGCAGAGCGTTCTCGTCTGTAGCAGAGCGTTCTCGTCTGTAGCAGAGCGTTCTCGTCTGTAGCAGAGCGTTCTCGTCTGTAGCAGTGTTCTCGTCTGTAGCAGTGTTCTCGTCTGTAGCAGAGTGTTCTCGTCTGTAGCAGAGTGTTCTCGTCTGTAGCAGAGTGTTCTCGTCTGTAGCAGAGTGTTCTCGTCTGTAGCAGAGTGTTCTCGTCTGTAGCAGAGTGTTCTCGTCTGTAGCAGAGTGTTCTCGTCTGTAGCAGAGTGTTCTCGTCTGTAGCAGAGTGTTCTCGTCTGTAGCAGAGTGTTCTCGTCTATAGCAGAGTGTTCTCGTCTGTAGCAGAGTGTTCTCGTCTGTAGCAGAGTGTTCTCGTCTGTAGCAGTGTTCTCGTCTGTAGCAGTGTTCTCGTCTGTAGCAGTGTTCTCGTCTGTAGCAGAGCGTTCTCGTCTGTAGCAGAGCGTTCTCGTCTGTAGCAGAGCGTTCTCGTCTGTAGCAGAGCGTTCTCGTCTGTAGCAGAGCGTTCTCGTCTGTAGCAGAGCGTTCTCGTCTGTAGCAGAGCGTTCTCGTCTGTAACAGTGTTCTCGTCTGTAGCAGAGTGTTCTCGTCTGTAGCAGAGTGTTCTCGTCTGTAGCAGAGTGTTCTCGTCTGTAGCAGAGAGTTCTCGTCTGTAGCAGAGCGTTCTCGTCTGTAGCAGAGCGTTCTCGTCTGTAGCAGAGCGTTCTCGTCTGTAGCAGAGTGTTCTCGTCTGTAGCAGAGTGTTCTCGTCTGTAGCAGAGAGTTCTCGTCTGTAGCAGAGCGTTCTCGTCTGTAGCAGAGCGTTCTCGTCTGTAGCAGAGCGTTCTCGTCTGTAGCAGAGCGTTCTCGTCTGTAGCAGAGCGTTCTCGTCTGTAGCAGAGCGTTCTCGTCTGTAGCAGAGCGTTCTCGTCTGTAGCAGAGCGTTCTCGTCTGTAGCAGAGCGTTCTCGTCTGTAGCAGAGCGTTCTCGTCTGTAGCAGAGCGTTCTCGTCTGTAGCAGAGCGTTCTCGTCTGTAGCAGAGCGTTCTCGTCTGTAGCAGAGCGTTCTCGTCTGTAGCAGAGCGTTCTCGTCTGTAGCAGAGCGTTCTCGTCTGTAGCAGCGTGTTCTCGTCTGTAGCAGTGTTCTCGTCTGTAGCAGTGTTCTCGTCTGTAGCAGAGTGTTCTCGTCTGTAGCAGAGTGTTCTCGTCTGTAGCAGAGTGTTCTCGTCTGTAGCAGAGTGTTCTCGTCTGTAGCAGAGTGTTCTCGTCTGTAGCAGAGTGTTCTCGTCTGTAGCAGAGTGTTCTCGTCTGTAGCAGAGTGTTTCTCGTCTGTAGCAGAGTGTTCTCGTCTGTAGCAGAGTGTTCTCGTCTGTAGCAGAGTGTTCTCGTCTGTAGCAGTGTTCTCGTCTGTAGCAGAGTGTTCTCGTCTGTAGCAGAGTGTTCTCGTCTGTAGCAGTGTTCTCGTCTGTAGCAGTGTTCTCGTCTGTAGCAGTGTTCTCGTCTGTAGCAGAGCGTTCTCGTCTGTAGCAGAGCGTTCTCGTCTGTAGCAGAGCGTTCTCGTCTGTAGCAGAGCGTTCTCGTCTGTAGCAGAGCGTTCTCGTCTGTAACAGTGTTCTCGTCTGTAGCAGAGTGTTCTCGTCTGTAGCAGAGTGTTCTCGTCTGTAGCAGAGTGTTCTCGTCTGTAGCAGAGAGTTCTCGTCTGTAGCAGAGTGTTCTCGTCTGTAGCAGAGCGTTCTCGTCTGTAACAGTGTTCTTGTCTGTAGCAGAGTGTTCTCGTCTGTAGCAGAGTGTTCTCGTCTGTAGCAGAGTGTTCTCGTCTGTAGCAGAGCGTTCTCGTCTGTAGCAGAGCGTTCTCGTCTGTAGCAGAGCGTTCTTGTCTGTAGCAGAGCGTTCTCGTCTGTAGCAGAGCGTTCTCGTCTGTAGCAGAGCGTTCTCGTCTGTAGCAGAGTGTTCTCGTCTGTAGCAGAGCGTTCTCGTCTGTAGCAGAGCGTTCTCGTCTGTAGCAGAGCGTTCTCGTCTGTAGCAGAGCGTTCTCGTCTGTAGCAGAGCGTTCTCGTCTGTAGCAGAGTGTTCTCGTCTGTAGCAGAGCGTTCTCGTCTGTAGTAGAGTGTTCTCGTCTGTAGCAGAGTGTTCTCGTCTGTAGCAGTGTTCTCGTCTGTAGCAGTGTTCTCGTCTGTAGCAGTGTTCTCGTCTGTAGCAGAGCGTTCTCGTCTGTAGCAGAGCGTTCTCGTCTGTAGCAGAGCGTTCTCGTCTGTAGCAGAGCGTTCTCGTCTGTAGCAGAGCGTTCTCGTCTGTAGCAGAGCGTTCTCGTCTGTAGCAGAGCGTTCTCGTCTGTAGCAGAGCGTTCTCGTCTGTAGCAGAGTGTTCTCGTCTGTAGCAGAGTGTTCTCGTCTGTAGCAGAGAGTTCTCGTCTGTAGCAGAGTGTTCTCGTCTGTAGCAGAGAGTTGTCGTCTGTAACAGTGTTCTCGTCTGTAGCAGAGTGTTCTCGTCTGTAGCAGAGTGTTCTCGTCTGTAGCAGAGTGTTCTCGTCTGTAGCAGAGTGTTCTCGTCTGTAGCAGAGCGTTCTCGTCTGTAGCAGAGCGTTCTCGTCTGTAGCAGAGCGTTCTCGTCTGTAGCAGAGCGTTCTCGTCTGTAGCAGAGCGTTCTCGTCTGTAGCAGAGCGTTCTCGTCTGTAGCAGAGCGTTCTCGTCTGTAGCAGAGTGTTCTCGTCTGTAGCAGAGCGTTCTCGTCTGTAGCAGAGCGTTCTCGTCTGTAGCAGAGCGTTCTCGTCTGTAGCAGAGCGTTCTCGTCTGTAGCAGAGTGTTCTCGTCTGTAGCAGAGTGTTCTCGTCTGTAGCAGAGTGTTCTCGTCTGTAGCAGAGTGTTCTCGTCTGTAGCAGAGAGTTCTCGTCTGTAGCAGAGCGTTCTCGTCTGTAGCAGAGCGTTCTCGTCTGTAGCAGAGCGTTCTCGTCTGTAGCAGAGCGTTCTCGTCTGTAGCAGAGCGTTCTCGTCTGTAGCAGAGCGTTCTCGTCTGTAGCAGAGCGTTCTCGTCTGTAGCAGAGCGTTCTCGTCTGTAGCAGAGCGTTCTCGTCTGTAGCAGAGCGTTCTCTAGCAGAGCGTTCTCTGCTCGTCTGTAGCGCTCTGCTACAGACGAGAACACTGCTACAGACGAGAACACTCTGCTACAGACGAGAACACTCTGCTACAGACGAGAACACTCTGCTACAGACGAGAACACTCTGCTACAGACGAGAACACTCTGCTACAGACGAGAACACTCTGCTACAGACGAGAACACTCTGCTACAGACGAGAACACTCTGCTACGTCTGTAGCAGTGTTCTCGTCTGTAGCAGAGTGTTCTCGTCTGTAGCAGTGTTCTCGTCTGTAGCAGTGTTCTCGTCTGTAGCAGTGTTCTCGTCTGTAGCAGTGTTCTCGTCTGTAGCAGAGCGTTCTCGTCTGTAGCAGAGCGTTCTCGTCTGTAGCAGAGCGTTCTCGTCTGTAGCAGAGCGTTCTCGTCTGTAGCAGAGCGTTCTCGTCTGTAGCAGAGCGTTCTCGTCTGTAGCAGAGCGTTCTCGTCTGTAGCAGAGCGTTCTCGTCTGTAGCAGAGCGTTCTCGTCTGTAACAGTGTTCTCGTCTGTAGCAGAGTGTTCTCGTCTGTAGCAGAGTGTTCTCGTCTGTAGCAGAGTGTTCTCGTCTGTAGCAGAGAGTTCTCGTCTGTAGCAGAGCGTTCTCGTCTGTAGCAGAGCGTTCTCGTCTGTAGCAGAGCGTTCTCGTCTGTAACAGTGTTCTCGTCTGTAGCAGAGTGTTCTCGTCTGTAGCAGAGTGTTCTCGTCTTTAGCAGAGAGTTCTCGTCTGTAGCAGAGCGTTCTCGTCTGTAGCAGAGCGTTCTCGTCTGTAGCAGAGCGTTCTCGTCTGTAGCAGAGCGTTCTCGTCTGTAGCAGAGCGTTCTCGTCTGTAGCAGAGAGTTCTCGTCTGTAGCAGAGCGTTCTCGTCTGTAGCAGAGCGTTCTCGTCTGTAGCAGAGCGTTCTCGTCTGTAGCAGAGCGTTCTCGTCTGTAGCAGAGCGTTCTCGTCTGTAGCAGAGTGTTCTCGTCTGTAGCAGAGTGTTCTCGTCTGTAGCAGAGCGTTCTCGTCTGTAGCAGAGCGTTCTCGTCTGTAGCAGAGCGTTCTCGTCTGTAGCAGAGCGTTCTCGTCTGTAGCAGAGTGTTCTCGTCTGTAGCAGAGTGTTCTCGTCTGTAGCAGAGTGTTCTCGTCTGTAGCAGTGTTCTCGTCTGTAGCAGAGTGTTCTCGTCTGTAGCAGAGTGTTCTCGTCTGTAGCAGTGTTCTCGTCTGTAGCAGTGTTCTCGTCTGTAGCAGAGCGTTCTCGTCTGTAGCAGAGCGTTCTCGTCTGTAGCAGAGCGTTCTCGTCTGTAGCAGAGCGTTCTCGTCTGTAGCAGAGCGTTCTCGTCTGTAGCAGAGCGTTCTCGTCTGTAGCAGAGCGTTCTCGTCTGTAGCAGAGCGTTCTCGTCTGTAGCAGTGTTCTCGTCTGTAGCAGTGTTCTCGTCTGTAGCAGAGTGTTCTCGTCTGTAGCAGAGTGTTCTCGTCTGTAGCAGAGTGTTCTCGTCTGTAGCAGAGTGTTCTCGTCTGTAGCAGAGTGTTCTCGTCTGTAGCAGAGTGTTCTCGTCTGTAGCAGAGTGTTCTCGTCTGTAGCAGAGTGTTCTCGTCTGTAGCAGAGTGTTCTCGTCTGTAGCAGTGTTCTCGTCTGTAGCAGAGTGTTCTCGTCTGTAGCAGAGTGTTCTCGTCTGTAGCAGAGTGTTCTCGTCTGTAGCAGTGTTCTCGTCTGTAGCAGTGTTCTCGTCTGTAGCAGTGTTCTCGTCTGTAGCAGAGCGTTCTCGTCTGTAGCAGAGCGTTCTCGTCTGTAGCAGAGCGTTCTCGTCTGTAGCAGAGCGTTCTCGTCTGTAGCAGAGCGTTCTCGTCTGTAGCAGAGCGTTCTCGTCTGTAGCAGAGCGTTCTCGTCTGTAACAGTGTTCTCGTCTGTAGCAGAGTGTTCTCGTCTGTAGCAGAGTGTTCTCGTCTGTAGCAGAGTGTTCTCGTCTGTAGCAGAGTGTTCTCGTCTGTAGCAGAGTGTTCTCGTCTGTAGCAGAGAGTTCTCGTCTGTAGCAGAGTGTTCTCGTCTGTAGCAGAGCGTTCTCGTCTGTAACAGTGTTCTCGTCTGTAGCAGAGTGTTCTTGTCTGTAGCAGAGCGTTCTCGTCTGTAGCAGAGCGTTCTCGTCTGTAGCAGAGCGTTCTCGTCTGTAGCAGAGTGTTCTCGTCTGTAGCAGAGCGTTCTCGTCTGTAGCAGAGCGTTCTCGTCTGTAGCAGAGCGTTCTCGTCTGTAGCAGAGCGTTCTCGTCTGTAGCAGAGCGTTCTCGTCTGTAGCAGAGTGTTCTCGTCTGTAGCAGAGCGTTCTCGTCTGTAGCAGAGCGTTCTCGTCTGTAGCAGAGTGTTCTCGTCTGTAGCAGAGTGTTCTCGTCTGTAGCAGTGTTCTCGTCTGTAGCAGTGTTCTCGTCTGTAGCAGCGTTCTCGTCTGTAGCAGAGCGTTCTCGTCTGTAGCAGAGCGTTCTCGTCTGTAGCAGAGCGTTCTCGTCTGTAGCAGAGTGTTCTCGTCTGTAACAGTGTTCTCGTCTGTAGCAGAGTGTTCTCGTCTGTAGCAGAGTGTTCTCGTCTGTAGCAGAGTGTTCTCGTCTGTACAGAGAGTTCTCGTCTGTAGCAGAGTGTTCTCGTCTGTAGCAGAGCGTTCTCGTCTGTAACAGTGTTCTCGTCTGTAGCAGAGTGTTCTCGTCTGTAGCAGAGTGTTCTCGTCTGTAGCAGAGTGTTCTCGTCTGTAGCAGAGCGTTCTCGTCTGTAGCAGAGCGTTCTCGTCTGTAGCAGAGCGTTCTCGTCTGTAGCAGAGCGTTCTCGTCTGTAGCAGAGCGTTCTCGTCTGTAGCAGAGCGTTCTCGTCTGTAGCAGAGTGTTCTCGTCTGTAGCAGAGCGTTCTCGTCTGTAGCAGAGCGTTCTCGTCTGTAGCAGAGCGTTCTCGTCTGTAGCAGAGCGTTCTCGTCTGTAGCAGAGTGTTCTCGTCTGTAGCAGAGTGTTCTCGTCTGTAGCAGAGTGTTCTCGTCTGTAGCAGAGTGTTCTCGTCTGTAGCAGAGAGTTCTCGTCTGTAGCAGAGCGTTCTCGTCTGTAGCAGAGCGTTCTCGTCTGTAGCAGAGCGTTCTCGTCTGTAGCAGAGCGTTCTCGTCTGTAGCAGAGAGTTCTCGTCTGTAGCAGAGCGTTCTCGTCTGTAGCAGAGCGTTCTCGTCTGTAGCAGAGCGTTCTCGTCTGTAGCAGAGCGTTCTCGTCTGTAGCAGAGCGTTCTCGTCTGTAGCAGAGCGTTCTCGTCTGTAGCAGAGCGTTCTCTAGCAGAGCGTTCTCTGCTCGTCTGTAGCGCTCTGCTACAGACGAGAACACTGCTACAGACGAGAACACTCTGCTACAGACGAGAACACTCTGCTACAGACGAGAACACTCTGCTACAGACGAGAACACTCTGCTACAGACGAGAACACTCTGCTACAGACGAGAACACTCTGCTACGTCTGTAGCAGTGTTCTCGTCTGTAGCAGAGTGTTCTCGTCTGTAGCAGTGTTCTCGTCTGTAGCAGTGTTCTCGTCTGTAGCAGTGTTCTCGTCTGTAGCAGAGCGTTCTCGTCTGTAGCAGAGCGTTCTCGTCTGTAACAGTGTTCTCGTCTGTAGCAGAGTGTTCTCGTCTGTAGCAGAGTGTTCTCGTCTGTAGCAGAGTGTTCTCGTCTGTAGCAGAGAGTTCTCGTCTGTAGCAGAGCGTTCTCGTCTGTAGCAGAGCGTTCTCGTCTGTAGCAGAGCGTTCTCGTCTGTAGCAGAGCGTTCTCGTCTGTAGCAGAGCGTTCTCGTCTGTAGCAGAGCGTTCTCGTCTGTAGCAGAGCGTTCTCGTCTGTAGCAGAGCGTTCTCGTCTGTAGCAGAGTGTTCTCGTCTGTAGCAGAGCGTTCTCGTCTGTAGCAGAGCGTTCTCGTCTGTAGCAGAGCGTTCTCGTCTGTAGCAGAGCGTTCTCGTCTGTAGCAGAGCGTTCTCGTCTGTAACAGTGTTCTCGTCTGTAGCAGAGTGTTCTCGTCTGTAGCAGAGTGTTCTCGTCTATAGCAGTGTTCTCGTCTGTAGCAGAGTGTTCTCGTCTGTAGCAGAGTGTTCTCGTCTGTAGCAGTGTTCTCGTCTGTAGCAGTGTTCTCGTCTGTAGCAGTGTTCTCGTCTGTAGCAGAGCGTTCTCGTCTGTAGCAGAGCGTTCTCGTCTGTAGCAGAGCGTTCTCGTCTGTAGCAGAGCGTTCTCGTCTGTAGCAGAGCGTTCTCGTCTGTAGCAGAGCGTTCTCGTCTGTAGCAGAGCGTTCTCGTCTGTAGCAGAGCGTTCTCGTCTGTAGCAGTGTTCTCGTCTGTAGCAGTGTTCTCGTCTGTAGCAGAGTGTTCTCGTCTGTAGCAGAGTGTTCTCGTCTGTAGCAGAGTGTTCTCGTCTGTAGCAGAGTGTTCTCGTCTGTAGCAGAGTGTTCTCGTCTGTAGCAGAGTGTTCTCGTCTGTAGCAGAGTGTTCTCGTCTGTAGCAGAGTGTTCTCGTCTGTAGCAGAGTGTTCTCGTCTGTAGCAGAGTGTTCTCGTCTGTAGCAGTGTTCTCGTCTGTAGCAGAGTGTTCTCGTCTGTAGCAGAGTGTTCTCGTCTGTAGCAGAGTGTTCTCGTCTGTAGCAGTGTTCTCGTCTGTAGCAGTGTTCTCGTCTGTAGCAGTGTTCTCGTCTGTAGCAGAGCGTTCTCGTCTGTAGCAGAGCGTTCTCGTCTGTAGCAGAGCGTTCTCGTCTGTAGCAGAGCGTTCTCGTCTGTAGCAGAGCGTTCTCGTCTGTAGCAGAGCGTTCTCGTCTGTAGCAGAGCGTTCTCGTCTGTAACAGTGTTCTCGTCTGTAGCAGAGTGTTCTCGTCTGTAGCAGAGTGTTCTCGTCTGTAGCAGAGAGTTCTCGTCTGTAGCAGAGTGTTCTCGTCTGTAGCAGAGCGTTCTCGTCTGTAACAGTGTTCTCGTCTGTAGCAGAGTGTTCTCGTCTGTAGCAGAGTGTTCTCGTCTGTAGCAGAGTGTTCTCGTCTGTAGCAGAGTGTTCTCGTCTGTAGCAGAGTGTTCTCGTCTGTAGCAGTGTTCTCGTCTGTAGCAGAGCGTTCTCGTCTGTAGCAGAGCGTTCTCGTCTGTAGCAGAGCGTTCTCGTCTGTAGCAGAGTGTTCTCGTCTGTAGCAGAGCGTTCTCGTCTGTAGCAGAGTGTTCTCGTCTGTAGCAGAGTGTTCTAGTCTATAGCAGAGTGTTCTCGTCTGTAGCAGTGTTCTCGTCTGTAGCAGTGTTCTCGTCTGTAGCAGCGTTCTCGTCTGTAGCAGAGCGTTCTCGTCTGTAGCAGAGCGTTCTCGTCTGTAGCAGAGCGTTCTCGTCTGTAGCAGAGCGTTCTCGTCTGTAACAGTGTTCTCGTCTGTAGCAGAGTGTTCTCGTCTGTAGCAGAGTGTTCTCGTCTGTAGCAGAGTGTTCTCGTCTGTAGCAGAGAGTTCTCGTCTGTAGCAGAGTGTTCTCGTCTGTAGCAGAGCGTTCTCGTCTGTAACAGTGTTCTCGTCTGTAGCAGAGTGTTCTCGTCTGTAGCAGAGTGTTCTCGTCTGTAGCAGAGTGTTCTCGTCTGTAGCAGAGCGTTCTCGTCTGTAGCAGAGCGTTCTCGTCTGTAGCAGAGCGTTCTCGTCTGTAGCAGAGCGTTCTCGTCTGTAGCAGAGCGTTCTCGTCTGTAGCAGAGTGTTCTCGTCTGTAGCAGAGTGTTCTCGTCTGTAGCAGAGCGTTCTCGTCTGTAGCAGAGCGTTCTCGTCTGTAGCAGAGCGTTCTCGTCTGTAGCAGAGCGTTCTCGTCTGTAGCAGAGTGTTCTCGTCTGTAGCAGAGTGTTCTCGTCTGTAGCAGAGTGTTCTCGTCTGTAGCAGAGAGTTCTCGTCTGTAGCAGAGCGTTCTCGTCTGTAGCAGAGCGTTCTCGTCTGTAGCAGAGTGTGCAAGTCTCGTCTGTAGCAGAGCGTTCTCGTCTGTAGCAGAGCGTTCTCGTCTGTAGCAGAGCGTTCTCGTCTGTAGCAGAGCGTTCTCGTCTGTAGCAGAGCGTTCTCGTCTGTAGCAGAGCGTTCTCGTCTGTAGCAGAGCGTTCTCGTCTGTAGCAGAGCGTTCTCGTCTGTAGCAGAGCGTTCTCGTCTGTAGCAGAGCGTTCTCGTCTGTAGCAGAGCGTTCTCGTCTGTAGCAGAGTGTTCTCGTCTGTAGCAGAGTGTTCTCGTCTGTAACACTGCGTCTCGTATCGTTCACTGTGAAGAGGCTTCCAACACCAGAGGTTCACGCTCCGCTCCTTTCACCTTCACTGCTGTGCAATTTCTTGTTAGTTGTTGTTCTAGCTTTATGTCAAAATGTCTAATTTATGTCAAATGATTAATTGACCATTGTACGATAAAATACAAAAATGATAGTATTTGTATTATAATTATCTTTAGTCCAAACTCAAGGTCCATATAATAAGAATCAGAATCATTTTTATTGCCACGTAAGTCACAAAAGTCACCACTTGGAAATTGCTTTGGCAGAGCTCATGCCACATATGAAAGACCAAAGACCCCACAACACAGACAAATACAACAACAATAATAATAATCTAAGGACTGATCAATTGAATGATTTAATAATTCAAAATAAAGCTACAACTTTTTATACAACATTGAAAGGTGTTAGCCCTGTACTGTGTGCAGTGCATTACAAACAATGGGTAATACATATAAGGGGCAACAGTGGCTCAGTTGGTAGCTACTGTTGGACCTGAAGGTCATGGGTTTGAGCCCACTTCAAGACCTACTTCACGACTCCCACTGATGACTGCTGTTGTTGTGTCCTTGGGCAAGACACTTAACCCCACTTTGCCTGAAGCCCCCACTGAAAGATCTCAGCTCCTGTGGACTCAGCTCCTGCAGGAGGATCAGTGAGGGGCTGGTGCTCTGACTGCCACCCCCCAAACCCAGAAATGGATTAAGGGGAAGAAATGGATGGATGGATGGGTAATACATATAGGGTTAGCATGACATAATACAATCACATCTCAAGGAATATGGACTTATAAATCACTTTGGCCTCAACCCAAGACAGATAGAGGCTCGTGGATAAAACATTGTGACAATATTGAAATCAAGAAAACATGTAAATGTGTGTCTTCAATGTTGCTCTCTCAGTTTGTTTACTCGTTTCTTTTCTTGTTGACCATTTGACCCTTTATTCAATGAGCGTTATTCCATTATAGGCAAAAGCTTATTCATTCCTTTCCGTCCTAATCAGCATAATCCAGATGCGCTGCTGCTGCTAGCCTTGAGCCACATAACTATCAAATATCCAGTATGTGAAGCTAAATGGGATGTTCTCAGTAGCACACGCTCACCTGCCATTTGAAACACTATTCATTTTCTGCAATAATTGTATTTTTTTGGCAGCTGGTTCAGTCTGGAGCCGAGCTAAAGACAAGCAGAGCCCACAGAGGAAGTGCAGCTGTAACGATGACATGTAATTCTGTCACATAATTATATCTGCGTCCTACTGCACAGAATGATCCGAGTGAGTGGAACGGTCCTGTTATTCTATGTTTGGTACAGTCAAGCACTTGGATTCTTTGCCCTTTTCTCTCTGGCCCCACTATTATGAGACTCGACCTTTCTCATGTTGTTACAGATGTATACGATACGATACGATGGACTTTATTGATCTCACACTGGAGACATTTACACACAACTATACATGTATATCCCTGCACTTGCTTTGTCACTGTGCTTAAGTCAGATTCTGTGCTTAAGCAAAGGTCGGCACGGTGGCACTCTCGCCTCTCAGGGCCTTTCTGAGTGGAGTTTGCATGTTCTCCCTGTGTCTGCGTAGGTTTCCTCTGGGTGCTCCGGTTTCCCCTACCACTAAAAACATGTACAATAGTTCTGGCATGCGCCTCCTGTACTGGCCCCTCCCATCTCTGTGTGGAGTGAGAGACCAGTGCCCAAAATAATAACAATTGTAAACCGCTTTGTGACTCTGGTCTGTGAAAGGCAGTATATAAATAAATATTACTTACTTACTAAAGATAGGAGGATTTTCTACTTCCGGGTGGATCATCACGACTATTGGTCCTCCTAGTCATCATTCTGGTGATACCTGCTTGTCAAATGGTCAGATGGTATTATATGTTATTTTAATTCGCATAGTGTTTTCTAGTGTAGAGATGTGTTCATTTACCTGGTGCTGTGTGCTCCTCATTCTTACTGGTAATGCAACACTGAAATTTCCCCACTTTGAGACAAATATAGGATCTTTTAATCTTAATTTCTCAGCCTCACGACAGCGGCTCGACCAGAACTCTTCTACAGACTCACCTTTTTTGATATAAACTGAATGAGGCCATGAACCCGATCCATTCAAGTCTCGCCGGGAACACGTTTGAATAGAAAAGATAGAAACTCTCTTGTGGCCGTTATAGAGTGCGGTGTATGCATTCTGTGGTCTCTATATCGATGAAGAACATGGACGAGCCAAAGCCCAGGCTGCTATCTCTGTTAGCTTATGGCGAGCTATGAAAACTATTTCTTCCATTCATTCATGTTCTATGGCTTTGCAGAGACGGAGGCAGGAGGCAGACCATTACTTGCATTGTAGATAGTTTTTGACCTGGCTGAAACTTGTCAGTAGAGCATAGTATGGTGTAAAGTAGTATAGTAGTTCATAATATCAGGACATTGGTGATAATCCAGGACACATTATTATGGACATTTATTCATATTTATGGACATTTATTCATATTTATGGACATCGTTATGGACCAATGGCTCTGTGTGTTTTTATCATTGCATTTTTGAACTGTTTTATTCAACAATCTGTGTTGGCGTATTCAACGGTTGTGTAAAGTCCTACTGTTGTGATTTAGGGCTAAACAAGAATACATTGAATTGAGTGTATCAACAGCTTGATTGTTTAATGCTAAATTGAGGATTTCTTTAGCCAAGGCAACACCATTCCAATGAAGTATAGTACGTCCCTGTAGGGAATGTTGCCCTCTGCATTTGTTTCCATTTTTAGTTATCGCAGCTGCAGCACCCGGGGATCCATGTCTGTCGTTGGTCAGGACTACCCGAGCGAGGGACTATTGTACATGTTTTATTTAGAACGATCAAACGAGATATTGTGTAAAATCAGACACAGACTAAGCTCAGAAGCACTCATGCCGTGGGGCCAGTGTCAGATCTTACAGAGTGTGTTCAGAGCTTCCTTCAGTCGGTACGGAGTCGTTTTCAGACAGAATTAAATCAGGATATGCATCATAAAGACAAACTTGGTCACCTAGCGTCAAATCGAAAGATGCCATTATAGTCATAACTAGGGCTGCACGATATATATCGAAAAAATACCGTTATCACGATATTAGTACGTACGATATCCATATCAAAAAGATGTGCGACTTTTGTTTTTTTCCCTTCATTAAAGACAACAAAACAGACAGACACATCAACAAGAACAGCAAAATAAAAAAAATAAAGTATATAAATATTTGCATTAGACTTTCATTAATGTTATTTTTTTTGTCATTTGTCTCTTGCGTTTCAGTGCAGATGCAATTTCAGGTGAAAGACAAAAATATAAAAATAATATCTTTATCGCAATACTAAACACTTATATCGCTCTAATTCCCAGTATGGTGCAGCTCTAGTCATCACCGAGCAAAGCTGAAGCGTGTTTGTCCACCAGGAGAAGGTTCACTGTCTTAGGGAGCATTTTTATTGTTTATGACGTTTTCCTTCATCATTGTCCTGTTTTAGGAAAGATAATCTCTCTGGCAGAGTGGTTAGCTCTTGTGCTTCAATGTCACTGTCACTGTCTGATTTATTTATATAGCACATTCACGACAACACCAGCTCCCCAAAGTGCTTCACAAGCATGAAAGAAAACAGCATTAAACACATTCACATACATGTACAGCAAGAAGGTCCTGGGTTCGGTTCCATCTCCAGACCTCTCTGTGTGGAGCTTGTGTATTCTCCCAGTGTCTGCGTGGGTGGGGTCAGATCAGGCAGAGAATTCACACCTTTTTCTTCATGCGGGTGTGAAAGAGCGCCCCCTGCTGAGCATCTGAGCTGTCCCACACTGAGGCTGGATCTGAACTCCTACGTTTTCACCTGGAACAGTCTCCGTATGAACGGGAGGTAGCAACCGACACAACTATAGTGTTTTACTGCTGCATTGTCTCTAAATTCACGAGGGCTACCCAGAAAAAAGTCCCATAGAACTCAATGTAAACTAAAACAGCTCGACCGCAGCTGACAGAGAACCTGACCGAGAACCTGACAGAGAACCTGACAGAGAACCTGACAGAGAACCTGACCGAGAACCTGACGGAGAACCTGACGGAGAACCTGACGGAGAACCTGACGGAGAACCTGACGGAGAACCTGACGGAGAACCTGACGGAGAACCTGACAGAGAACCTGACAGAGAACCTGACAGAGAACCTGACAGAGAACCTGACAGAGAACCTGACAGAGAACCTGACAGAGAACCTGACCGAGAACCTGACCGAGAACCTGACAGAGAACCTGACAGAGAACCTGACAGAGAACCTACAGCTTTCACAAAGATCAGATTTTGTGTGGATGTTAGTGTCCCTTGTCGTCCTGAACTTTTGTTCTTCTTAATGGCATAAATGGCACCATGCCGCTTGGGCGGCACGGTGGCTGAGTGGATAGCACTCTCGCCTCTCAGCAAGAAGGTCCTGGGTTTGAATCCCGGTCGGACCAGGGCCTTTCTGAGTGGAGTTTGCATGTTCTCCCCGTGTCTGCGTAGGTTTCCTCCGGGTACTCCGGTTTCCCCTACCACTAAAAATATGTCCAATAGTTCTGGCATGCGCCTCCTGTACTGGCGACCCCGCTCCCATCTCTGTGTGGAGTGAGAGACAAATGCCCAAAATTAACAATTGTAAACCGCTTTGAGACTCAGATCTGCAGTGAAATGGCGGTATATAAATAAAAACTTACTTACTTACTTACTTAAATCCTTCAGTTTTCTTTAAATCCACACTTTACTGCCACAAACTCTGCTCCTCTCCTTCCCGCTCTGACTCCTCTGCTGCTGATCTGATCAGCTCTGATTGGTCAGAACGCTGCCCTCTGATTGGTCAGAGTGCAGCCGAGCCCCTCTGTGCACGTGCATGAGAGCCACACACGCGTATTTGGCGCAAAGCATCATGGGAGCTCGTCCACTGCGCAGAACCGGGAGGACCAGACAATTCCCAAATAGAGGCGAGTTCTGCTGATCTCCCGGTCCTCCTGTAAGTCCCATGAACTACTGAGCACAAGCCATTCATTTGAACAGGACGCCATCTTGGATCAGCGGGGCTTGGCAATGAGAGACTAATGCACCACAACATTTGTTAAGCACATGGCGACTCTGGTCTGTGACAGGCGCTATATAAATACAGATTATTTACTCAAGTGGCTTCAAAACACCTTAGAACAACTTAAAATCCATGCACTTTTTAATTAACTCTTTCATTAATGTCATTCAATTGGATCCTACACATTTTGCACAAAGATAAGATGGGATAGGATAGACTTTATTGATCTCACACTGGAGACATTTACAAGAACTAATGTCAAGAGCACTTTGAGTTGCTGTGTGTATGAATTGCGCTATACAAATAACCGTGCCTCGCCTTGCCACAACAAGCTCAGAATCTTAATGTCATAGAATATTGTTTGGAGACAACATGGGGGAAGGCTCACCACTGTGCCAAGGTTGTTCTGCTCTTGAAACTTCAGCCTCGCAGCGAAACCAAAATAAAACCCGGCGTGTTCTCGTAGCTCTGCACCGGGACAGGAAGTGACCACTTGTGTGAGATTGAGACACTAAATCAGCCGCTGGACGTCTCCTGCTCCTCTGGTCTGAGGACACTGGGGCTTCACTGCGGAGGAAGGAAGAACCACAGAATATTCTATTTACGGCTTCTGCAAACGAAACAGCCTCACAGCCTCACAGCCTGGAGACAGTCTTTTGGTGTTGTCAATTCTTACACATTTGAGTTTTAGTGATTGTTTTAATGGAAATCACAAGTTGAACTAACAAGAACATGTGAGATGTGAGTGACGTCAACATCAGAACTCCGAAACTAGTAGAAATAGAGAGAAATTTACCCTAAAAAAAATATATTATTAAGGATTTTTTACCTTTACTCACTTTTGATTAATGGTAAAACTAGTATATACAACTTAAAATACGTTAAAACAAATTGTTGAATGCCTAATGCTAAAGACCAAATGCTAACTTCTGCAAGTAAACGGTTTCTATGGTAACCAGCCCTTGCTCTCAACCAGAGCTAGCAGAACCTTGAAGTGCTTCAACTGCGGTAGAATGTTGGTTACTAAATAAAAAGGTTAAATTATCTTATTTTACTGTCAAATGAATGGAGTCAAAATGTTTGCACTGGGAATTGAAATGTAGAAATCCTCATAATTCAAAAATAATGGCAAGGCAAGTTTATTTGTATAACACCATTAATACACAAGGAAACTCAAAGTGCAAAACAAAACAATATATATATAACATGTAGAAATATAAAAAGTTATGAAGACAAACCATAAGCATGTACATAAGCTGAGGATTTACACTTAAAATTATACACTTACATTCATTAAGGGAGTTCGAGTGTTAATTGTTCTTGATGGTGAAAATATCTGTTTGCGTTACACATATTGTGAGACATATGTTGATAATAATAATAATAATAATACATTTTATTTATAGTGCATCTTACATTTCCAGGAAACCTCAAAGTGCTGCAGATTAAAATACAGAACTGCAAACAACAAAACAACAAAGCAAAATAATCAGAAGGGGTTAAAAGCTAATAAAGTCACTAATAGGTCTAAACTGGTCTTATTGTGAGACATATGAGTTTCTAAAGTACATTTTTTGCGCAAATAACAAACTGTCTCGTGTGTTTTCATGTCTGCACACTCAAGTCATGGACTGCTGCCGTTTTTGATGATTTCACTGATTCTCAAGACCCACAGAATATCATTTCTTAAGACTATGTGAAATACAAAACCAGATTCTGAAAGACTGGATTGTCTACTTCCATCCGCAAAAATAAGTTTGTTTCCGAGGCGGTAGTAGCTCAGTTGGTAGAGCGTTGGCCTTTGAGCCAGAAGGTCGTGGGTTCAAGCCCCGCTCAAGACTTTCACCATCGACTCCCACTGTCTGCTGTCGTTGTGTCCTTGGGCAAGACACTTAACCTCTGGGAACACCAGCCACAGTGGGGCGGCTGCGGCTGTAAAGTGCCAAACTGCTGTTGTGTCCTTAGGCAAGACACTTCACCCCCATTGCCTAGAATGAGTCTGGTGTGTGTGTGAATGGTTGGTGGTGGTGGGAGGGGCCGATGGCACAGACTGGTTGCCTCGCTTCTGTCAGTGTGCCCCAGGGCAGCTGTGGCTACATTAGTAGTTTATCACCACCGTGTTTGGAGAGAATGATTAATGACACATGTGAAGCGTCTTTGAGTGTCCAAAAAAGCGCTATATAAAACCGATGCATTATTATTATTATTATTATTTTTGTTGTCCTGTGATCCCCAGTGGAACAGAGGGTCTCAGACAAATACGTCAATGGCAGTCAATGAGTTACTGGCTGCTTCTGTGTGAGACCAGGACGGAGCTCTTCACTTTGTCAATACGAGGAGATGGGTCAGTCTGGGAGGTTTACGGTCCTGCAGCCGGCTCCATCTGCAGAGCACTCTGTAAAATCACTCATCATCACTCATTTCAGTGTTCTGCTACATAACCTGCCGTAAACAAGCTGCTGCTGTTGGCGCTCTTCAGCCCTTTATAGCCTCCACAGGCCCAACCACACTTTTATATTCTCACTTTTATTGTTTGAATAAGCGGCACCTGTATCAGTGTGATAATTCACAGGAGAAGTCAAGGGAAGAAAACTGGCCAATCAGCAGCTCTGCAGTCGCCGGGAGCTTCATAAATGTAAAGAGGATTTTCTGACTCATGTATTTTTATTGGTGGACGTGAAACACACAGAATATTCCCTGAAACAAGATTCATACAGTTTCATATAAATACATCGCACATGATCAATGACTACACTACAGTTCAACAACCCTTATTTATATTAAGATAAGATAAGAGAGACTATATTAATCTCACACTGGAGAATATGACTCAGATTGTGCAAAAGACAGAAGTGTGCAACGTGTTAAAGGTTGAACATAATAGTCTGCGCAGGATATCATTATGGACAGTAAAACAGTGGCCTTCTCAAAGTCAAAGAATAACATGAAATTCCCAGGTGTTTTTTTGGTTCAGCAAGTCTGTTTTCAATTGAATGGATGCAGTTATTTTATCCATAATGAACACTTGCATTCTTCCATTCAGCCACTGATGGTGAGTTCACATTCTTCCAGTTGGCTGTCATGGTCTTTTTGGCAACCAACAGTAGAACACGTAGAATATATACAAAAGAACATAACATTTGAGGGACCCGCTCTATTTAAACATTTTCAATCTCGTCCATAATCCCTGTGTGAGGTCTCCTATCACCCCACATAATCTACAGCATAATGCAGCTGTGGGTTTTTGACGAATTTAGAGATGACGAAGGGGGTGTGATAAAACGTAATTATTGTTATTGAAACACACCTTTTTACATCTCTTTGAAAAACAAAGCCGATTGGAAAACAGTGCAAAATTATTCAACTTCCACATTTCAAACCACCGGCCACAAAAAGAGGATTACACTGAATCGAAGCAGTATTTTACCGACTTCTTCTTTTTTCGCAGAGTCCCAGAGCCAGAGCGGAAGTCGACTTCTCTCTCAGCGTCATTCTCCGAGATAAGGTACGTTCTGTCTCTCACCTGCCACACCCTGTCCCCATCTGCCACCGCAATCTGTTAGCATGTCTTCTAAATGAAAGTGAGAGTGGCTGATTACCCCGGGGGTTTGTCAGCGTCACTCCACTCACTCAAGAACCTTATGGAAAATCTCTTTACTCACGTCGCCCAAATCAGATGTTTCTTAATTTCCCTGTGCACTGTGCCAGCCTCCTCACACATACGCTTTGTCAAGATTAACAACTTTAATCTCAGTTTGAGTCATGTTTATATTAGATTACATCCCTCGATACTAGGGTGGGCCAAAGTGTGACAGTCGATAGTATTGGGATATTTGGGCGACAGTTCAATAATATCACGATTCTTAAGATATCGCGATACAGTGTGTGTTGCGATTCCATTCAGCGATGTATTGCGATTATCGTCCTTCATATTATTCAAAGGCATTTTACAAACATTGAGGAAAAGAAAACTGCTCAACTCAACTGTCAATGTCAATGTTTTATGGTTTGCACATTAATGGAAGTGTAAAAACGTTGTCCTTGAACATTCAGGACACAAGAGCTTATCACAGACAAGACGCCATTATTCTCTGAAGGCAACCTCTCTGATACAACGGACTGGATTCACAAAAACAGACATAACATAAACCTAAAATGACCAGAGTAAACTCAGAGAAAACATGCAGATATTTTCATAGAATATCACAATACTTTGCTGTACTGTATCGATTTAATCACGTGCACAAAATGTCACGATACAGAGCAGAATGTTTTTTAATACATGTCTATACTGTTGCTGCTCTAGTGCGAGTCTGCAGTGTTCCCTCACAACGTAACAGCAACCCTGAGCTGTCTTCAATGGTTGAATCCTTTCAGAATGATAAAGAAATGACTCTTACATTATTAATGCATTGCCCGACTGCAAATTCTACTTGACCGGCCTCGCGCAGTGAAAGCCCTTTAGTATGTGGCCTCAATTAAGATACGGACGTAGCTCAGTGGATAATCTTTGTCCACATTATACCTATCGCTCGTCCGTGCTCAGACAAAGTCCTCTCTCTGTGTGCACCAGTCCCAAGTGCTTCAAAGAGAAATGAGGCTTAAGAGCGCTAACTAAAATTAGCCAGTGCAATAGATAACCTGTAGCTCGGGATCAAAGCGGGGCTGAACTGCCAGGATCCTCCGCGGCGCCAGTGGTGGCATGGTCGGCACAAGCAGGAATGTGTGGAGAGAGAGAGAAGCGACATGCTACTGATGTTGAAGGATGAGAGCTGAAGGGGCCAGAGGAGAGGTGTAACGTCCCATTGAGGGGGATTATCCACAGGAACTCGGACACTGCTGGGTCAAGGTTTTGTGTGTTAAACATTTCGGTAAGGCCAAAACGTAAGTACTCTTCAGGCCGGGCTTTAAAGGTCGCAAGGAGTCCTCTGAGTTTTGTGTGCGGCTGCGAAAAGAGCTTTGTAGTGTCATTCTGCCTCCACTCATGTTTGTTTTGGTACATGACACTGGTGTTACTATAGGAGAATGTAGGAGGCAGTTTATATATTATTATTAAAGGTATATCGGAGGATTGTCCATATTTTAAGAAAGACCCGCCCTCTCCACTTTTTGAACCAAACTCTCTGGTCTTATTTGATGAGCATGTATCAGCAGAATGATTGACAGTTGGGAGGACCAATAGTCTTGATGATCCACCCATGTCTAAGGAGGAAGTCTATTTGTTATTATTGGTCCAAATTCATGTAATGCAGCAAAATGATGCCAGTGTATTGTGGGAGAGGAGGAGAACATCTGTTATTCTAAAGAACATATTCCAAATGAAAGACGGAAAGAAAAGAAAGTCCACCGCAGATCATAAACTTTAAAATAAACTGCAAAAGAAAGACTCTGATTATGTTTTGTGTGAGTTGCAAATACTTAAAACTTTCAGGAAAGACGTAGAAATGCATGAAGTGTCATTCTCACTATTTTCTCTGTATTGATAAAGTAGTAGTCGCTGTAATAGTTCATCATCAATGTGAAATGTGTCGTAATCAAGACTCAACAGTTCAGATGATCAATAATGTTGATTTTCAAAAGTGATCTCAGACTCTCCGAGCTCAGATCTGCTCGAGTGGATCGATTATCCCTCAATAGAACGTTCTTGATGATGGATTGATTTTGTACCTTCTTCCCAACAGATAATGCTTAAAATATGTGTATTTTTGTAGCCTGGTCGTACCACACCATAGTACAGATTACATTTCATACTAAGGCCTGGATTGTCTCCTTTGACTCCGTGAACAGGTGGGAGGGGTTAACTCCTTTTACAGATTGAAACCATTGGATCTGAGTTTACTGTGACGTATGTAATGAGCCCGAGTGTGTTGTTAGCATTTAGCATGTAGCCTAGCTTTAGCCATCTCCTTTGTCGCTAACGGAGCCTGTGGGGAGTAGAGCCACAATCTTTGCAGCGATTACATTTGCTAAACATTCTTCTTGCTCCGGCTTCAGTTTCTTGATAGAACCAGACCAGAATACTTTACTATCACATTCTTCGCCAAACTACGACCTTCCCGTTCGACGCAAACTCTTGACGTCACCCGCATCTAACTACAACACCCGCCTCCCGCGCTCTCTGATTGGTCGGGTGGAATTCAACCGATTGTAATCTCAAACACAAGGACCAGACCCAGACGTTACAGCAGGACATGATGATTGAGCTGAGAGTAGGATGGATAAGGCCAGGGTAGTATTTTTGTGTTTTAATCGTTGATTCTCTGACCTGTGTTGGTGATTTCAATGGTTTTGTTAAGTCTCTGAGATGATGCTGCTGTGATTTAGGGAAATACAAGAATAAATTGTTGTTGTTGTCTTTGTTTTTTTTATTGTATTAGTTTCCATTGTTTCATAATAGTGCTGTTGTGAGGAAGCAGCAGGATGTGGCAAGAAGGTATTTTATTCACACCTTAAATCTTGCAGTTGATCTAATCCCTGAGCTGAAATGTATTTATTTGAATTGGATAGAGTGCATTAATGCTCAGCTACTTCTGTGATCACACCAGAATGATCTCACATGTAGTTTTCACTTGTATTTCAATTGTTTCCTGATACCGAAGCACCTGGAGAAAACCCGCACAGACATGGAGACTCATACAAATCACAGTTTTTGTCTGGAGTTGTTTTCTCAAATAACATCACGCCATTTTGATTTACCAATAGCAAATTAGAAGGGGGGGGGGCTGACGATGACTATCAGAGCTGCCACTGCAGGTGGTGGGTCCAGATGGATGCTCTGTCAGCGATGAAATAGCCTTGATCTTTCAAAGTTTAAAACAGTAGTTGGTCAATACGGACAGCTGAAAAACATTTCAGATAAATCAATTTCATGGACAAATGGTTGTTGAGATGGATTTGAGGTCCATAAGGAATACAGATATAAATTATAGTTTTTTTTTAATTGTGAAAAATGTCCAGTCTGTCTCACTTGACTTGTCTCAAGGATATAATCTGTGATTCCAAAACCTTGTACGTTCCAGGCGAAAGACCTTCACCCAAAAAAACACACCTTAAAAGTTAAACACATTAAACGTTGTGCCTTCCCCTTTAATGCTTGCCGTGGGTAAAACACGTCCCGCTTCATCTTTTTGGCTCCGACACTTTGCTCTTAATCCTATATTAATAGAACGTGTCGACTTCTCCATAAGATCTGCGCTCCCTGCGGTGTGACGAACCGATCTAGCCTTCACGCCGCCGATTATTCATCACATCGACAGACGTACATCTCACAGCCCCGATGCCCGAGGGGGTCTTGGCTTGGATGAGGTCTGTATAAGGAGCTCCAGCAGCACATGAAGCTAGAGGGGAGTGGGCAATGGTGTCTGGTGTCGACGCCCCCCCTGGTGTGAGACTCTCCGGCCGATTCGACTTAAGCACGAACTATTTACATACTTTTTTTCCACTGGGCCAAACGGCGTATCGCACGGCTATCGGAGACCCTCTCTGCCTGTCTTTAATTGGCTATTGATTGACTCTTGCTTTGGCAGCGGGAGACAATAAATTACCGCCTGCTTGAGCGCTTGTCAGTCGGACGATCCGCAAAGCCGGGGGGTCCTGGATATTATTCTCAGAGTCAAATCTGCACCGTGCATTATTTACACCCTCTCATTTTTATTTATGTATCAGGAAATGGTGATGCAATGCAGTGACAGACGGCAGATGTAATGCAGAGCCTGGCTGTGGTTTGAACAAGTCAACTCAGATTGATTGTGTTCTGTGAGAGGCTGTGAGCGGGTCCGGGTTTTGACACGAAACGGCTTCTTCAGCGTTTTAGACCTTGTCAAATCATGTGTGGTTGGAAGAACATACAGTCTGTTGGATGTTCCATGTGAGGGCGATGAATTTAAATGAAAAGCATAAATACAAACTGACCTTCCCGGTGATACTGCGGCTTATAAATATTCCAGGATGTTTGCGTTTCATAGCACGTGTCTAATAAAAATGTCCGCGCGCCAGAATGATGTTTAGGAGGCGGTGAGAGTTGTAATTTCTGCAGCCGGTAATTACTCTATTTATTTTTGCTCAAGTGAAGCATAATGATTATAGGAACTCACTGGAACGCTGCCGTGTTGACTTTTTATTACAATACTGTCCAAACAGGAACATCAAGAGAAAACCAATTATTACTGATTGCTATGAGTCTAATGTAACCATGACAGCTGCAGTGGTTGCGAGGCCAAAACACATCTGGAATAACTAGTAGAGGTTTGCGAGCAGCTGTACTTTTTGCGTACATTTTTTGAGTTCACAAGTGCAACAACTGAACCAGAAAATGAAATGAAAAATGAATTATGTACCGCACAAGCTAGCCCACCTTTTGACTGCAAAAACAAAACATCTCACTATGCATTGTTGCTAGCTGTGGCAGTGTGTGAGAATTAATTATGCGGGGAGAGTGAGAGTTCCATCAGACTTTGCAATTATGAAGGAAGAGCTAAACGATGAAAGCGGCTGTTTTTGTTGTTGTTTTGGCCTCTTAATAAAGCCACAGGGAGCTGCTACCTTCTGTAGCCTTTACCACGGGACGCAGAGTAAACACAGCCAAGCCGAGCCCAGCCTCTGTTATCCACCGGCAGATTGATGTGTCAGTCACAGCGGCCACACATAGTTTACGGCGGGGTTAAACACGAGTCTTGCCACACACACACACACACACACACACACACAGTCCTTCACCTCCATATTGTTTCTTCAGCCTGTTGCTTGGTTCCGTCACTCAGCCGGGTTGTTCGTTTAAGCAGCCCGCGGAGCCATTGTGGAATCCCAGCGCTATTCCATCATAGGCTATCCTCGCTCTTCCTCGTCAGCTGGGAACTATCCTGGGAATGCCAATGCCCCATTCACCCCCCCGTAGGGCCACTCACCTCCAGGTCCCGAGGAGGCCAAGCAGGGACCGTTTGATGCACGTGAATGCGCGGCGTGTGTGTGTCTGCAGGAATGCTGACAGGCGGCCAACTCGGGTATTGATCTGTAGCCATTCCGACTGGGGCGCAAAGGGCAGGCCGCTTCATGTGTCAGTCTACTGAGAAGGGCATTACAGTAGCACTCATCTGAGATCACCAATCCAGCTCCAAAGAGACTCAGAACATAGGCAGAGGTCAGCAAAGGTTTTAACTTAAAAAAAAAAGCAAGTTGTTTGTATTCAGGACTGTTTTACTGACCTTCCAAAGACCTTCTTAAGACCTTGAGGTGAATATTTGGGATGTTTGAGGTCCAAGGAAGAGACAGAGTCAAGTTACTAGAATGTATAGTGTGAGGTCTTTCTGCTGTGTTAAAGAAACAAGACAAAAACGCAGCATTTTTAACAACCGTGATCTTTGTATGAACTTAAATGTAAAAAAGTGAATTCTGTCTTTTAGAAGGTTCTTCCACAGTAAGACAAAAGTGTAAAGAAGCTATTAGAGCTTAATTATCTGACATGTCAAGACGACTGGTACTCAACAAACGAAACGCCTACTGAAGGACAACAAACACAAATAAATAGTTACCATAGCAAACGTACGAGGGGTCACGGAGCAGATCCAAAGAGCACTTGGAAAACACAACCTCAATGCAATAATTAAACCTCACAAAAAGCTCAAACAAATCCTCGTACACCTGAAAGAAAAGATACAACCGGAGACAAAGGGCAATGTCATATACAAAATCCCATGCAGAACCTGTAATTCAATTTAAGCTATCAACACCAGGAAGAAAGCAAGATCAACCAAGCAAAAAGCAACACATGAAACCCTCAATCAGCAACTTACCGTGGCTTAACATCCGTGATTGTGTAAATTAGGGATGCACCAATCCGATACTGGTATCGATATCGGCGCCGATACCAGAAAAAATACTGGATCGGATATCTGCGTAGAAAGAGGCGCCGTGCTGTCGATCCATTTTCTTTTCTTAAAAAAAAAAATTATATATATTTTTAATACATACCAGGTACCGCACAATGTGTTAAAATACATTGTGCATAATGTACATATACGTATAAAATGAATGAATTAAAAGTAATGTATCAGATGTGACACTTCCTCGTGGCGCTCTACAACAACAACAACACAGCGTGGAGCAGGAAAGAGCGTTGTTCTCGCGGCGGTAAACCAGAGAAATACAACACGACTAAGCAGCACGAGAAACAGCACGGGGAGTTTCTGCATCGAAAGGAGATGACGTGAAAACAACGAGACACAGATGACACTGACGCAGCGTCACAAAAAGCTTTTCAGCAACAACCCCAAAGTGTTGGAGTTCATCATGGGCTCGCAGCCCCATAGACCATTCTGAACCCAGGTCCATGCCGTCGCCAAATACATATCTGAAATCCACTTAAAGCTACGGTACTATTATTTATTTACATTTTCATGCAGCGTGTTTTGTTTGTTGTGTTTTTTTATTCAAACACAGTTAATATAAGTACATTTATATTCAGTAAATGTATAAGGAATAATACAGTGTTGAATGTTTAATGTGAACATTGAGCAGCTCTTTATAGTCGCAGTGTTGCACATTTATGTTGAATCCATTTTTATCTGGAAAGTTTAGCTTTAGTTCATCCACTGCTTTTGCAGTTACTTGAACAAAGAGTTACATTATTAAATACATTTTAGCATGATCATTTCCGGTATCGGTCAATATCGGTATCGGCAGAAACCCATAGCTCTGGTATCGTATCGGTAGTAAAAAAGCTGGATCGGTGCATCTCTAGTGTAAATACAGACATAACAATATTACCTTTATCATCTCAAAGAGTACGTCAGACTTTTATGAAATTTTCAGCTGTCGACAATTTTCCCACACACTGGTTTTGATCTTATTTGGGAATCGTGCGAAAGGAGAAGTGGCCCTTGTTATTCCCCCCTCTCCATTAGTCTGCTACTTCCAGGAAATGACAGCCTGACCTGGTGCCTCTCTCCGGCGACACAGGTGGCCACTGGCTAACCGTGTGCTTTGACACGTACCGGCAAAGTGCTTGGAGTGTCACATAAGGACAAGCAGGGTCAGTGCCCAAACAGTCGTATTACACTTTTAGATGAGAATGGAGGAGCGAGGCGGGTATGCAAGGACGGAAACCTGAAGGGTAACCGTTTACAACTGAGTGCGCCTCGGACTCCTTCTATTTCCAGGTGCTCCACTCCTCCACTCCCCACCGCTAATAGAGACAAACACCCCTAGATTTGAGAGCCACATGTGACGACACCAGTCTGTGCTGACCCCTGACCTCCCAGACCACCCAAAGGCCTCCCTCCCCTGCCTCCCTCTCTGCACGTGCCGCTCTCTGGCAGCTTTTCTCCACACTTGGATGACAACACAATTGCCCAGTGCTCATACAAGCCTCCAGGACTGATGGGATTATCCGAGCCTATAAACTAGAGCTGAGAAATGGCAACAAATGTGACAATACAATTCCGATTCATTCATTTGCAATAAAACAACGTTGGAATACATTTGCAAAATTCCCCAGAGTGCGCAAGACAAGTACAGGAATAAAACAGGAAACAATTGACACTGTAAAATCAACTAAAACAGTTTCAATACAAAGTGCAAGATAATTAAAGTGCTCTGTTTACACTGATCTCAGCGTGTGGAAAGAAGAGTTAGCAAAACGAGATATGTTCTGCATCTCAGTGAACGATATCTTTGGAACATGGCTTGGGTGGCCAGAATTTAATTATATTTATTTGTGCCACAATTAAATATTCATGCATTTCTTTAGATATTGCGATACAGTGAGTATTTTGAGGACAATAAGACTGCTCAACTTAAATCATATTCATCTTTATTATGGGATACATTTTCAATAAAGTGCATGCTTTGGAGGGCAGGTCAAAAACGTAATCCGTGAACATTCAGGACAAGACAATTTTCTCTGAATAGACGACCTCTCATGAAGGACATGAGACATAAAATGGCACAGAGGGCCGCAATTGGCCCGCGGGCCTGAATTTGGACATGACCCTCAGATGCAAAGGACCAGAGTAGACTCAGAGAAAACACCTACATATTTAAAATACTAAATATTGTGAGGTCTTCCCCTCACCGCTACTATAAACACTGCCATATAGAGTCCTTGTGCACGAGGCTGTAGGATACAACAATACGTCATGATTAGAAGTGGAATCTCGCTCTGTTGCCGTTACTAACTTCAAAGACTTCCACCGTTAGCTTATATCTGCCTGCAGAAGAACGTGGTTTGAGTTTTGGTTTTCTCTGGAAATCTATTTGTCGTAATCGCGGCCGAGATTGCCTTTGATTGGGAGCAGCGTCTGAAAGGCAACAAACCTCTTGTTGCCGAGATGAGATGGGGCATGGCTTGATTGTATCGACGGGATCCAAGGTCGCCACAACTACTCTGGCGTGCCCGGTGCGTGCCGTGCTCCTTCAGTGATTATTCCATTACTCTACATTTTCTAAATCTCATCCTAGCGCACATTTAGCTCGCTGATGAGACCTGTGTGTGTGTGTGTCTGTGTGTGTGCGTGTGTGTGTGTGTGTGTGTGTGTGTATGTGTGTGTGTGTGGCGGCATGGTGTCCACAATGAAGCCATTGACGCTCATAAACGAGATCTGCCAATAAGAGACCTGTTTGTCTGGAGATGTTAATCTGAATTAGCGCCGCCCGGTCTCCACTCTGACACATGAGCCGTTACTGCAGAAAATATAATGAAAGGTGAATTTTTTGGGGTGGGAAAAACAAGATTTATTCTGATTCCAAGAACACAACAGAATGTTATTGATTTTGCTGTATCGATCTCTGAGTCACTTCCGGAGATGCATATGAGCTTGGAGGAATGATGAGTTGGAAATATAATGCAATTTCTGTACTGTATATTAGATAAGTGTCTACTCTCCACCAAAAATATCTTGATATTCTACAGGAGTCATACTGGACCCTCCTTTCTGCAGCAGGAGGGTCTGAGGACGGTGGTGATGATCCAGGACCCTCTAAATTAAACTACAATTATAGACAATACAATTTATTCTTGTATAGCCCTAAATCACAACAGCATCATCTCAGAGACTTAACAAAACCATTGAAATCACCACAGATCAGAGAATCAACAGTTAAAACACAGAAAGAATACAGAACACATGTTGATAAATGTCATACATGTGATAAATGTCATACATGTGATAAATGTCCTACATGTGATAAATGTCATACATGTTGTAGAATGTTAAAGTCCTGCATCAGAGGAAAAACTCATAAGAAAACCAGTGGGAAAAAAGTGAGAAACCTCGGGGAGACCCATGGTTTGAGAAAGGGATCCGCTCCCACGGACGGACGGGCTATAGATCCAGGACTCAGACTGTAGAACGAGGACTGAGGCTATAGATCCAGGACTCAGACTGTAGAACGAGGACTGAGGCTGTAGATCCAGGAGTCAGACTGTAGAACGAGGACTGAGGCTGTAGATCCAGGACTCAGACTGTAGAACGAGGACTGAGGCTGTAGATCCAGGAGTCAGACTGTAGAACGAGGACTGAGGCTGTAGATCCAGGAGTCAGACTGTAGAACGAGGACTGAGGCTGTAGATCCAGGAGTCAGACTGTAGAACGAGGACTGAGGCTATAGATCCAGGAGTCAGACTGTAGAACGAGGACTGAGGCTATAGATCCAGGAGTCAGACTGTAGAACGAGGACTGAGGCTGTAGATCCAGGAGTCAGACTGTAGAACGAGGACTGAGGCTGTAGATCCAGGAGTCAGACTGTAGAACGAGGACTGAGGCTGTAGATCCAGGACTCAGACTGTAGAACGAGGACTGAGGCTGTAGATCCAGGAGTCAGACTGTAGAACGAGGACTGAGGCTGTAGATCCAGGAGTCAGACTGTAGAACGAGGACTGAGGCTGTAGATCCAGGAGTCAGACTGTAGAACGAGGACTGAGGCTGTAGATCCAGGAGTCAGACTGTAGACTGAGGACTGAGGCTGTAGATCCAGGAGTCAGACTGTAGAACGAGGACTGAGGCTATAGATCCAGGAGTCAGAC